AATTTCATTTGACATAAAACTTTATGTTCTCTCTCAATTATCAGTATTCAAGGCAGGCCGAATGAGCGGTAAAAAGAAAGAGAAACAAAAGCATTTATCAGACTAAGTACCTTAGTAGCTTTGCAAAGTCGAACCATTAACTGTTTGTAGTCTAGAAGAGGCGTATGTGGGTCCAGGGTAAAAACTGTTCAGTAGCAATTAATTATTTTTATTGCACCAATTTTTTTAAAATTTACTGTTTTATTAATAGTCGCAAACGCTACGAAGAAGTGACCCATGTTGATCTAATAATAATAACAAAAGGGCAAATCAACCGTTTTTTCAATCAATTACTAAGTGAAAAATATTTACTAAACATATGCTCAAATGTTTCTCATTTCTTTGTCTGGATATATAACAAGTTTTTCAAAAAACCTTCAACATTGAGATGAATAACGATTCAAAAATCACTATACGCACGGAAAACGACTTTTCAATTACTAAGTGAAAAAAAATTGCTCAAACATGTATTCGAATGTTTCTCATGTATTTGATTAAACGCGCCATGTCTAGATTTATAAAAAGTTTTTTTAAAAGACCTCCGACATTAATATGAATGACAATTCAAAAATCCTTATCTGCACGGAGGTCAACTGTGAATACTCAAGCCATGACAACTTTTCATGCTACGTTTCAAATGGATTTGGAAATATTCACAAAACAATTTACTACTTCGTCGAACTAATATAGCAGATTTAACACGCATTTAGCAGAACAGAACACGAAATAGGTTCTAAAATAGGTACCCCATAAAAAAAATTGTTGATAATATATTTTTCAGTAATTTGATTTGGGAGGGCTAATGGACCCATTTCAAGCACTAATAATTTATTTAAATACCTTGCTTTAATTGCTGTTCGAACTGAACACGGATTAATGCTATAAAACACCACCTGCAGCAATACTTACAAAATTTAATTGATACAAATTTTCAGAACAGCACTTAAAAGCTCTTATACTACATTATTTAGTAAATTTCTTTAAAAGCTTTAAGTACAACTGGAAGAAAGTATACCAATTTTTAGTCCAGTAGTTACGAATAAATTGAAATTAAATCGCATCAATACATTTTACGAGTTTGTTTTTATTTCGGTAGTAAATTCAGACCGTTTTTTCTCTAAAACTGTTAAATAAAATAAGTAAAGCATACAATTCTATTTTAAGATAATAATGTTCTTGGAAATTTAATAAATAAAAAAATTAAGTGTCTCGTAAAAAATTTTATTGGTTTGTCAACAACAAAGTCTGGTCATCGAAATGGACCACACACAAGCGTTCTGACGTTCCATGTCCAGTTTTTTTTTTTTTTTATTTTAACGTCCAGTATTCATAGAAAAACAAATTTCTGAATCGTTTTAGGCAAATATTAGCTATACAGTTTAAATCAAGGAAGTAGTTTTATTAAACTAAACTTGAAACTTGTGTTTGTTCAGAGTGAAAAGCAGCTTTTGAGAGTTTGATTTAACTAATTTAACCGAGGCAGATAAGAAATAAGTAACATAAAGTAAATTATGATTATCACAAAAAAGATAAAAAATAACAATTACTTTACTGAAACATAAAATGAAGTCAGGCTGTCCGTTTTTAAATAGTGTTTTTATCTCGCTCAAAAAGCTCCAGAGCGCTTCGAGCTATTAAGATCTTGAAAAGTTAAAGTACTTTTTCATTTCTCTGGTTTCGTGTATAATTTCTAAGCATGAGTATAAAAGTATCAGGCAACAAAATAAATATCTTTTGAAAGTTTTATGTTAGCGATGGAAGTTAAATCATGCAGAATTTATTAATGGTAAAATAAAGTAAAAGGGAAAAATTTAAGCTGTACAAACATTGTCAAAAAAAGCATTACTGTTACCGACTCGCACTAAAACCACATCAAAGATTCTTTGGACTATATTTATTACAAATATTTAAGCAGAACCAAATAATTTTGGCAGAAATGATTAATGGCAAGATTTCAATTGAGAGAAATACTTAAACTAACGACAGCGTGAAATAGGATGAGCTTCAAGTGATAATTAAGTGGCGTAAAACCCACCATTCAATGCTTCTTCCTCTTGAAGCCGCCTTAATAAGCCTACATACAAGTTGACATTTCTGCTTTATTAAACACAACCCACCCTATTTACCGACAAAATTAGACATAAATCCAATCACGCGCTAAAAAAATTTTCAGAACATTTTGTACTCAAAAATGCAAAAATCTAGACCTAGATTACTTTTATTGAATATGTATTTTTTTATAATATTGTATTTTTTATTTTGTTTATTGCAAGCGAAATGTGATATCGTTTTTTGTGTAATTTTTAGAACCATTATCAGGGCAGTAAACTACTTTAAAATAAATCTTTCTGAAAATACTTTTCAGTTAATGATATTGTTTTTGTTGTCTTCCAGGGGTTAAAACTGTCGTTTGTATAAAGAAATTTCTTATTTCTTGTTAAAAAATGTCATTTAAATTTAAATTTAAATCTGTAAAAATAGTAACGTATTGTGTTTTTTTTTTATTTCGAATGAAGGTATTAAAATTAAATCAAAACAGAACAGATGACTTGGCAGAGTAAAAGCGGCTAATCAATAAACGTAAGAAAGTTTTTTCGAGGAATGGTTTTTTTGCTAATTATTCCTATTAATCAAAAGAAGAAATCTTTATTACTGACATATTTTGATATAGCGAGCTGATTTATCAGCGCGGTTAAGATTTCCGGTCAAATCCGGTTGGTTAGGAGATGTTTGTATTGTGCAAGTTGAATCTGCAACTTGATACTTTTAAACATATATATCTGGCGATGGCACAACGAATCGAAAAGCATCCATTTGTCATTCTGGATGGCGCTACTCATGATATATGTCGGCGTTTCAGGATTTATTTATTTCTACACTACACTTCTGGAGATCGGCTTCATTTGCAAAATCGCGATCTAATTAAAGTTCACGAGCTTTTAGCACTGTGAAAGCTTTTAGTTTGCTGTTAATTCGTTTTCCCTAATTATAGGGAATAAATCTCTTCTTTGATAGTTTTGCCGAAAAACTTGGGCTACATTGCAAGTCGCATTAAACGACCACTTCATTATCGCACAAATATTAGAATTATATTATTGTTAAGAAGCTAAGATGTAAATGTAACACCACAGACGTTTAATCTCACCGAAAATAAAATTCACCGGAATAGCGTAATTTCGAATATATTCCATGTCTCGTGTAAACAGCGAAAAGAAAAGACTAATGGACACAACTTTTTCAACAAACTCGAGAAACTTTCCAAAACTCAGAGATAAAATAGAATTAAATAAGAAAGAAAATGCTTTAGTTTCAATCTTTCACCACACTTTATCAAACATTTTTAATTCTAGTTTCTAATATTTGATGTTCCTGAGTGTATTACCAGGAAACTGAGTTACTTCAACAATAATTGTATTGTTGGTTACATAGTAACTACTTATTATAACTTCCGTGATAAGTTAGTATAATATTTACTTATTGAAGAGACAGATAGTTGTAGTTTAATTTTGTAAACAAAAAAAATTCATATTGTCACGTTGGTGATTACTTTAATTGCTTACATGACAAGTGCTCATGATATTTTTTAAAGTATTTTCCTTGAAAATATTTTATATAACTTCGGCGTGTATAACGTGTTTTCTATAATGATTTGGTGTTGTATACAGGATGTCCTATAATTTTAGAAATAACAAGGCCGGTTCGTAAAACTTATTTGAGAAAAATGTATTTGACGCAAAGCACAAAGTAAGCTTAGATCTTTGTTTAACAAGCCTGATTTATGACAGGTCGGTGACCGAACAGTTTGTGCTAAGATTTTCGCCAGTCTTTGTGAAAATTTAAATAGAGACGTATAAAATATACGAAACAAAATCTAATCAAAGCGCAAAGTTAGCAATTCGGTCTGAGACTTGGCTCACGTTCCACTTTTACAGGTGTAGAGATCGTTAAGGTCGCCTCAGCAATGTCCTGTTTCATACTTTAACGTTCGATTGTGTAGTTCTAACATCCTGATCACCGTACCGTCTAATTGATTTGTCCTGCGGACCTCAGTGTTGCAGAGCCGTTTGCATGTATAACAATCAATGGCCAATGGCTCTAGTTAATACTCCAGACGAGAATGTCAACGCTCTAAATGCAATAGTATAGTTGGGGCCATTTTTCAGCTTGAAATATGAAAGGATAGGAAAATATTTCCCGTGGTCTTTTATCATCTATATAGAATTACTTTGCACATATTTTACAAAAGCGGCATTCATTGTAGTCTCATTTTACGACCACTTTGCCTATGGTAGTCACCGTTTTCATATTTCAGCCACTTATGGAAGGCTAAAAAATCTTCATACGACTTGTTTACTACGTCCCTCCAACAATAAAACTTGAAAAAGCCATCTAGTCGAACCTTCCTCCAAAAGAGGACTATTGCGACAGCGGAACATTTAATTTCATGTTTACATTTTTGCCTAAAAGACTAATTCAACTTACTTAAACTGTTATATTGTTCTAAAAGAATATAAATAACGGTTTTTCCGACGCTACTTCCACGAATTATTTACATTTGGGTCGCATTCAGACGTTCGAAGGCAACTCTTTAATTATCCGCTCTTTTTAACGACTACTACATGTAAAAATCCTACTCTTAAATTTGGAATTTAGCTAAACAAACGCGTTCGATAAATTGGGGGCAATTTAGACGTCACGTTCAATGACTAAATTAACTCCTAGATTAAGAAATTCGCACGCTACTATTTTTACTTCCAAATGATTATTATTATTGTAGCGAGTCAAACAAAAAGCTTAGTCAAAAATCATTTAGTGCTAGTCCTATACGATAGTTTAATTATAGTCATTTTGAATTATTTCTAGCATTAACAACTGATATGCATATAAAATTTATACTCTATTGTTCTTACGATATATAATTAAAGTTATAATTGCCACTGACCGATAACATTGTTAAAAATTAAGTTTAGTAGTTCTTAACGACGTGCCTGACTTCTACAAATTGAAATTTAATTTGTTTTGAGCTGCACGAGTTTCCGGAAAATGCAAGTATAAATTACAGAATCTGGTAAAAATTATTGCATAACTAGTTTTTTCCTGTTTAAAATACCTTCACCGATAACAATATAATTTGCAAAATATTTGTTTAAATCTATGTTAATTCAAGAATTTTATCTAATTCTCGTTTTCTTACATAAAATATTTTTTTATTTAATTTAAAATTGTTATCAATTGTTCATTGTATACAACGTGATAATGTCGTAAATGCTGTCAGTTATACTTATAATTGTTTTCAAACGTTTAAAAAATCCAGTGCGTATGCAAGTATAGAACGAGTGTGTTTTATTTTGAATAATTAAACCTATTTTCGGTCGCGTAAGTACGTAGACGACCCCATCCACAACCATTAGTTAATGACTTTAGATATAAATAAATTTACGAGATGACTCTATTTAATCTGTTTGAGTTCCAAGTTATTCTGATAATAAAATCGAAGCATTAACCTCGTCCCTTTATTTAAATAAATAAAAATATCTTAATTATTGAGTAATGCTTTGATTTTAACAAAACCTAGAGTAAACATTGCATCGAGTATTGCATGCTTGAGCAAGTCGTGCGTAAATTTTTCAAATGCTTTATTACTTATACACTATTTATTTCAATTGATTACTTCCTCAAACAACATGTATTAATCAATGTTAGGAAAGCGCTGTGTTGGAGTTTTTCTACAGTGTTTGTGAGCAACGAGTGGTTGAGAAAAGTGTGAAAATGGCTGAAGATGACTTAATTAATATTGACAGCATGCTTGCGCATGCCGGGGATTTTGGAAGATATCAGTGCATCCTCATGTTTTTATTTAGTGTAATAAATCTGTTGTCTGCCTTTCATTACTTCGGCCAGACTTTCATCAGTATTGTCCCCGACCACAAGTGCAAAATGTCCGTCAAAGAAGATCCGCGGTTTATTGCAACAGAACAATGTTCCTACACAATTTTTCACAAAGATATTTACCAAAAAATACCCTGCACTCAAGACTGGGACTACAACAACAGTTATGGTTATGTCAGTATTGTTCAAGAGGTTGGTATAAATTCTGACTCTTTCAAACGTGATAAAAACAATTTTAGCTCGATTGGGTATGTGAAGATAGCTGGAGACCAGCAATTGGACAGTCAGTGTTTTTCATTGGATCGGTCGTCGGTAGTCTATTTTTTGGAATTTTGGCTGATAGTATAGGAAGACTACACGTTTTGGTAGCCTCAAATCTATTTGCCTTCTTTGGAAACATCACAACGCTTATCACAACAAACACTACGATTTTTGCAATGTGTCGATTTTTGGCCGGTTGTGCCACTGATGCTAATTTCGTCATGATGTACATTATAGGTAACCAACAAAACAATAATTTCTGTTTTTTTTTTTTTAATTTTTTTTTAACAGTTATGGAATACATTCGACCCAGTATGCGTACTTTTGGCTTAAATCTCTGTATTGGAGTTTTTTATTGTTTTGCGTGTATGATAATACCATGGGTAGCAGTTTGGTTACAAAACTGGGAATCTCTGCTGCTGGCTATTGCAATTCCTCACTTGTCTGTTCTAAGCTTCTATTTTATAGTACCAGAAAGTGCCCAATGGTTGATAAGCAAAGGTCGTACAGAAGAAGCTATTGACTGTTTTAAATGGATTGCTCGAGTTAATGGGAAAAAATTAAATGACAAACATTTTGAAGGCCTAAATCGTTACTGCTGCCAACATATAAATGCAAGAAAAAAGCACGAAAGCTTCTTGGGTTTACTGAAAACGCCGAAGTTACGCCGGAAAACTCTAATTTTAATTTTTAAATCGTAATTTCATAATATTTAAATTTAACCTATTGTAAAAAAAATGTTCTAGGATGGTAATGACGTTGTGCTACGACGCAATTTCTAGGAATGTTAATGGTCTAGGCTACTCTCCATTTCTTGTTTTTACAATAACCTCAGCAACTATACTCCCTGCTTGTCTTTTCATTCTCGCAATTCAAGACCGAGTAGGTCGTAAAGCTCTAGCAAGCGGTTCGCTTCTTATGAGTGGCATTTTCACTGCATGCTCTGGAATTGTTCAAGTGTTTATCGAAACTCCTCATCCAACACTTATCGTAATTTTAGCAATAATTGCAAGACTTGCAGTAACAGTAGCTTATAATTCTGGAGCTCAATATGCGGTTGAATTAATTCCAACTGTTGTAAGAGGACAGGGAGTTTCAGTAATACATGTAACAGGTTACGCTGCGAGTTTCTTCAGTCCACAAATTTTATACCTCGCACATTTTTGGAAACCATCTCCTGAAGTTATCTTAGGAGTTTTGCTAGTACTTGGTGCTGTTGCTTGTTTATTTCTACCGGAAACGCTAAATCGGACATTGCCAGTTACGCTCCAAGACGGAGAAGAGTTTGGGGAGGATGAAAACATTTTTGATTTTGCATGCTGTAGAGCACCCTCTGAGAGCACTACAGAACTGACAAGAGACCAGATTAATACGAATTATATGTGAACTGTGATTAAATGTACTTAATTTTGTAAATACGTTCAAAATAAAAAGTTAAATTCTATCACGGAAGTTTGACTTTGAAAACGTAAAGTTTGAATTGAAAACTTAGTCAAATAGAATTTATGAAATGCACTTTTCTAATAGAATTTATGTAAAGTGCTCCATTGTGCTTTTGAACAATTTTGAAGCTTTTTATTTGGCACATATGCGAGTAAAACGTCAGCCGTTTAGTCTTATCAAATATTATTTATTCTATTTACATATCATCAAAAAAAGCACTCGAAATACCTCAGTACATGTATTGAAATGTTGCCTGAAACCGGCTATTTTTTGTGTTCAAACCAAAACACGTTTTTATATTTCAGTTGAAATCTTATTTTAAGATTCCCCTCCGTTGTTAGTCGGAACATAAGAGAAGCTTCGGAAATTTCACGCATTCTCTGGTCTTAAAAATTGTCAAAACATTTACCACGTCTGCAGAAAAATAACTTGTGATAAATATAGACGGTGTAAATTTTTCCAGTTGTCTGTTTATATTTAAAATACCCCAAGTGAAGTCGTGTCGACAAGCAACGATAAAGCGACCTTTGTCTCTTTGAACTCCGTCAAGGAGGACTTAACTGAATCAATACTTCTCAAGGGTTATTAAAGCTGATGATGCACCAGATAAGAAAATAACAAGAGCAACAAAAACCGACATTGGACAGAATAGCTTCAGAACTTTCTGCGTGATTAAATTTTTGAATCATAGTTTATATTGTTGGTAAACCATGACTAAAACTTTCTCGGACGAGCATTGTGATTTGACAGCTTCTAATTTGAAATCGGTTCGTTCAAAGCCCAAAGTTTTTGTTTTAATTATAATGTAATTGTAATATAAAACATAACACAAAGTTTTTAGAGGGTGCGAGCCCCATTTCCGTTCTTAAATATGTTTGCCGAGTTAGAGTGTAGAAAAGTTATTTCAGGAATAAGTGCACATTTTTCAAGTACGTTTAATTTCATTGTTTACATGATTTTTTTTTCTTGAAAATTTTTGCTCTAAAAACACTTCAAATATAACTAAAAAATACAACCCCTTAATGGCAAACTACTGTTTTCTAAATTTGGGGATAATTGAGATATTTCGATATTTAGGATAATAATTGTTTTAACGTGTTAAACCAGTTGCGGATTCTCGAAATAAATGGTCTGTAATTGTGTAATTTTCCGTAGACAACTGACTCAGTTACGGTATGTATTAATAAAACCAAATTTAATTTAACAAAAAATATCTATTGACTAATTAATTTAAGCCGATCTTGATTGAGTTATTAAGTAGACATTCTGTAACTACAACTTGTAGATATTTTTAATTTGTTTACAATTTAATTCCATAAAATAAAGACTTTCGATAGTTTGCGAACTGCTCAAATCGAGAATTGCAGCAATTCTATCGCAGCGATACGAAAAGACGATTTTTCTCAAGAACTGTAACTGCAATTGTTAAGATTCTTTTGAACTTTGAAAAAGAGAAAATAAAACTATTCGAAACAAAATATACATTTTTTAATTCTTTACATTTTTCTTAATATTGCACAGAATTTTGAAAATCCATGTGTTCGATACCTAATACAGAAATATTTATTAAATACTTAGAAAGTAGAGCAATGTGTTTTATTCAATTAAAACTGATTCACTTCAATCTGAAATAAAGAAATAGAAATTCTTTATGGAATTCCGCTGCAGCAATTTGTTATTTTTATAACAAAATACGCTTGTTGCTTTTCAAATAACTGTCCTACTTCAGTTAGTTTGAATTAAATTTTCGACTTGCATGAATAGTTTCAAGAGATATTTTAGCTATATTCAGCTCCACTGGAGCTCTATCTACATATCTAAAATTAAACTTTATATTGCTATATTAGCCAAAGTAATTAAATTTTAAGTTTGATGCAGTTTTTGTTATATGAAAAAGAAAATATGGATTAGAATTTGTCTTAGCGACAGTTCCATTAGGGTATAAAGAGTGCCTCAGCTCTCCTCCTTTTATAAATAGGTTGTCACTTTCAGATTATTTAATGTTGTACTGTATTTTCAATAAAACTTTATATAAAAAAGTCAGAGTTGGATTTTTGAGGCGAATTACAATCTATGAAACATTTATTTCCAGCCGATTTTACTAGCAGTTCATGCATAAAATTGATAAATTATAGCGATGAATTTTATGTAAATTACGTGTAATAAAATTATAAACTGTTTCTGTAGGGAATAGTTCTACGTATGTTTAATACTGGGACTCGTACAGCTATTAACATTCGTTTTTAATGAAATTATTTTGATGTGAATAAAACCAAATTTTTGATTAGTGTCTAAACAAGGAGTCATAATAATCCCAATTTAAAGAGAATGTGAATTAAATCTAGTAAAAACAGTTTCTAAATATGTAAATATTATTTATGACTAAGCGTTGAAGCAAATGCGTTGCATGTTTCACGAGCTGAAGTAGTTTTAATGTTGGTACAAATAATTAACACGGGGTGTGAAATATTGAATCAATGCTGTCGAAAAATGCTTATGTCGGAAAAAGTAAAAAATGTTCGATTCAAATAACCATCAATCTTATCCGCCACAAGAGAGAAACCTTGCTGTATAATTAACATGTCGTAAATTCCAAACCTGAGATACTCGTGACACAGTCGAGTTGAAGTTCGAAATCGCTCACGCCAAAAAATCAACAACAAAATGTTGGCTGTTTTTGTTTGAAAGAAAAAATGTTACTTTTATTTTTTATTTAATGGAAGTCAAGGGTATGTAATGTGATGCCGAAACAATAAAAATCGTGAGATGTTGGAAAATTTGGAAGGAATAAAATGGGCTTATTAAATTTCGTCCTTTATCTCGTTATAATTGGTATCGATTTTAAAATTGCGGAAAGAGAGAAAGAACCTTGCCGAAATCAATTTAAATTAAAACAGAACCGTTCGCATTAAAGTTAGAACAATTAATTTTCCATATAAACCGCGTTAATATTTTTTGCTTAATAGATTGTTCATTTCGGTTTGGCTTGAAAGCAACCAAGTTTTGACTTATTAAGAAACTGACTCATGAATATTTATAATATTTCCAGTTATTTTTAGAAGTCATCAGGAAAAATTACTTCCTAATTGAATTTGTGATGAATGACTTTACTAACTAATAAAAACTTATCCCCTATTTTTAATTGTATCAATAAAACTGTCAATCACTGGCAATATTGTTGTTAAAGCTGCCCCTTCTAAGCAAACAAAAATTATTTTCCCCCTTTGTTCCGTCAAACTCGCCATTAATCATACTTAGAAAACAATCCGGGAAGTACTCCGATTTGACCCACTGAACTTAGACTCTTTCCCTTACCCTCAGTGACCTAGATTTTTTCAAAAAACCACCCCTGTTGAACCAATCAACATACACACAACCGAACACAGATCAATCAATTGCTCGTAATTCAACTCTCAACCAACACCCAAACAAACTATCGATAATGGCCAGCACATTATTAATTAACCCCACCCAGAAAAACCCATAAAGCATAATTAAATCGGTGCGATAAAATGTTGCGAATTGAATCACGTTTCACAAACTTTGCTATCTGGAAGTTCTAAGCACGCGTTCTAAATAACAAGTTTTTCACATTATTACGTTAAATAATGGCTTTATTTAGACCAAAAATATTGCGAGAAATAATTGTATATTTTACAGCTTGATGCATGCATAAATGTTGACACGGCGTCGACCGCACAAATTTTATTACTTACGATTTTTATCACTAATTATCGCCGCTTTCTGCAAACAATTCGTCTTGTAAATGCAATTACTTCGTAGATATTTCAAAAACTTATCTTATGACCGTCTTCAATTTATCGGAATTAGAGCTTCAACAAAAGCTCATCTGGCCTAACGAAGTATTTTAAAAATTTCTCCCTCCGGTCGTAGCGCACAAACATCCAAATATATTGACGCATTTTAGAGCTCTGTATTCCTTATTTCAGGCGGATGCTGAAGCTAAAGAAGGTCAATTGACTTCTGACCGTCTGGTTAGAAATTCGAAACCCTACCACTTTAGCGATCTTATTACAATAAGATAGGTGTAAATAAATTTCTCGAATTTCGTCGCTTAATAAAAATATATTTTGCTAAAATTACTGCGAAAACTAGCAACATTCATTTTGCCGGCATCATAAATAATGTTCATCGCGTATAGCGGATAGAAACGTGCACGTTAGTTGGAAAAGATAAACACATTATCAACTACGTTAATGTGTTTTCTTAAAGCCGAATCTTCTATCGGAGGGAATTAAACCTATTTTACAAAACAAAACTCTGATACTTTAGACCCCTTTCTAGTGATATATAGCAAGGGAGGTTATAAATAGGACTTGTGTAAAACGGTTGTTCCTTTTTTTTCGGCCAAATTGGCTATTTTAAGAACTAGGAAAATACGAGAATACGACTCGTATTTACATCCTCTTTAAATGAAAACTGCAATTCAATTTTATTGCCGCTTTTTTCAAATTAGGCATTAAAGGAGAACTCTCGTCGCGATAAGACGTTAGTATTCAATTTTAGTTTAGAAAATTGAACAATTCTAGTTTTTTAATCTAAAGTTTTTTAAACAAATTCACTCAAGAGATTCATGTTCGGTTAAATCGAGCAAAATAAATGTTTCAACAGTATAAATTTTAACAGCATGATTTATTGTTACTATAATTTAATTGCAACAATCTATATTTTATACTTGAAGTTCTGTTAACAGCTAATAATGGGAAACGTTAATTTCCGTTGACAGCTTTAAGGTGAGTTCCTCCAAGGATACATTAACGAGATTATTAGTTAAGATCTCCATAATAAATACCGGGATTAAGTATAATTCACATAAAATAAGTTCTGCTTGTTTATTAAGCTTAACAAACGAAATTCGTTATGACATTTTGACAAATGGCGCGAGAAAAAATGCTGATTTTTAGATTTAATCAACCAAATGTTTGGAACTGACGTTTTTAAAACTCGAATGAAATAACTGAGGTATAATTTGTAGTTCTG